AAGCAGTCAATCACTCCCATCTCCCCGGTCTCCGGCCGCACTCGGTGCTCACCTGGCCTGTGACCGAGCGTTTCTATCTCTGGCACATGACTCAGTGTGGAGTCTCCAAACCCAGCAGATCCCTGCGGTGTGCTCCCGTGCTGTTCCCCCCAAGGGGAGGAAGGGATTCTCCCCGGATCTGCCGCTTGTTGAGTCCCTGCTGGAAGAGCAATGGCCTGACTGTGCCGCGGATCATGTTTTATGGCAACCCCCAGCTGAGAGCCCGCACCTCGGCTCCGTCTCTGCAGCCGGCTTCCCCACTCCGATACCTGGGAGCTCTGCCGCACTCAGGCACCCCCGGTCTTCTTGTGACCCTGAGGTTCTTGAGACCACACTGTCCCAGTGAGGGTTCCGCCCCCCCTCTTAGTCACTTGGGCGATGTCCTTCAGTAGAGCCGACTTCTAAAAGTTCCGATTTTGTGCTCTGCTGCTGTATCACTTGCCGGTAATGGCTGACAGAGGCCCCCTCCCCGCCATCTATCCTCCCAAATATCACCTCGGATTCACTTTTCCGCACATCCTACCTTACAGAAAGCAGTCGCTTTTCTGTTCAGAGAGTTGTTGCTATTCTATCTCCCATTGAGTTCGTAGGTGTTCAGAATGGTTTGATCCCCATCCAGCTGAATTCCTGGGACCAGATGAAATCCAGGTCTCCTACTCCTCCACCATCTTGCTCCCCCAGCCTGGCAGGGTTTATAATTTTTTAGTATAGCCAAGGGCGACGAGAGCAAAGAAATGTGATACTGCAAGGTAGGACCAGTAAGGGGTATTGGGAAACTGGGAGTTACTTGGCTTGGCTGCAGATAGGAGAGAAATGGGGGAAGTCCTTCAGGGGTAAGTTGGAGCCATCCTGTGGAAGCCACGTTGAAATTTTCAGTTGAATTTCAGTTTTGGCTTTCATTTTTTTTGGGAAAGTGTTTGCCACTCAACATCATCTAGAAAATGACCCAGTGAGAATATGACATTAGAAAACTAATTGGTTGGGGCAGTGAAGTTAGTTCAGTGGAGACTGCTCTAGCCCATGCATGAACTGAGGCTCTGACGATGGGCCAAGGAGTCAGGACTGTGCTAGGACTTTGTAACTCACTGGGCAGAGAGAAGCACTAGGGAGGGTGCGGGGGTGGAGAAGTGCCATGGTGGGAGTGGGGTCAGGTTTTCATTCTGGGGGACTGGGAGAAGGTGACATCATCAGGAAACTTGAGGAATTGATAATGGGGGTGGGAAGATAATGTTCTGTTTTAGATAGCCCTGACTGGAGTTGGCTTCTAAAGGATGGATTTAGGAATCATAAAACCATGGTTGTAGAGCAGCAGGGCACAGAGGTGATCTAATCTCATGTCCTTGCTTTATTTTATTTAAAAAATAATATGAAATCTATTATTTTATTTTGGTAGAGAAAATAGTAGAAGTGCAAAAAGGAAAAGAAAAACTGGGCCATAATCTTTTCCCTAAATAACCCCTCTTAACTTGAAAAAAAGTAAATTGAAGTAATGCATGCACACAATTGGAACATCCAAACCATATAGAAAAGTGCAAAGAGAAATAGAGAAGTGGCCCTCCTTGGACCCTTCCCACCAGTCCCGTGTTCCCCTTATGTAGGTAATATGATAATGAAGACATTGGCTGCATACACAACTTTACCTTTCCTCTATTTTTATCATGGCACTTCCAAGATATATTAAATAAAAACATATGAAAATATCTTTCTAATGGCTCCACACATCTTAATCATCTTAGTGTTACTTAATTTAGATAGAGCCCTGAAAGCCTTCCATGGCTGCCTGTGTCTGCTGCATTCAGCCTCGTCCACAGCCTGGACCACAGCCTCCTCCTGTTCTTCCCTGCTGTGTCTCTGCCTCCCTCATGCTCTCTCCTGGTAGAGATTGGCCTTCTTTCTCTGCCCTGGTGGTTTCCATTGCTCCTCTGCCTGTCCTTCCCTCTTTCCTGACCCACTGCTCTTGAATTGTAGGTCCCTTAAGTGTGGCTGCCTTCTGCAAATCCTTGGGGATCCCAGAGTGGTTAAGTCACCTCCTCCTTCCCTAGGCAAAAAGCTCCACAAGGGAAGTAGTAGGCCTTTGGCAGGGCCCTCTCTCTCCATCACACCTGTATCCTGAGTGCCCAGCATGAAGACCACCTGTGACAGGAATCAGTAAACCATTCATCTACTGTTACACGTTCTGTGATTTTGGGGTTCATTATAACTGTCAGTTATACGAATCTGGAGCCATTTGTGGTCAATGTTATAAAAGAAAAATTATTCTTACTAAAAATAGCGAGGAAGCCTTTATTTGACACTATTGCAATAGGAGGAGATACTAGTGCAAGTGAGAAACTCAACTCCCAATACAACAGGAGCAAGTGGGGGTTTATAGCCAATAGGCAAGGTGAGGGAAAGAGGGAAAATTACTGAAAAGAACTTGATTAGATATCAAGGGTAGAGGAAGATGAGCTTGATTGGATATCAAGAATGGGAGGATTCTTGATAAACTGGCTTAGCAGGATTCTTTGCTAAAACTGGCAGGCCACAGATGAGGCCTAGTCAAGAAGAAGGCTCAAAGGAGCCTGAATCAAGTTTGATTAAGGAGGAAGTCGCTGTTACTGTCAGCCAAGAGAGCCACGTGATGACTATGCCCTTTAGTATCTAATGTTGCCTCCTGATAAAGATAGGAGAGACCCTGGAGAATGGGAGATTGCACAGGAAAAAGCTCAATGCAGCCAAGAGCTGCCAGAGCATATCAGTTTGATCCATCTACGCGATGAACTTGTATTGTTCTTATATTTTAAAACAGGAACGATATAGTATTTACTCCACCCTTCCTCCCAGGAGAATCCCAAAGACTGATTCTGTTTCAAGAAAGACCTGTCAAATGTTTTTGCTCCTGGGCAGTGGATGCTGGTGTTTTCCTCTGAGATACTGTTTCACATGTTCCTAGTTACAGAGCTAACCCGGCTTACCTCAGTGCTATGACTTCAGCCATGGATATAACTGACTTCTCAATCCCATGGGGCACTCCAAACTAATTTTGCCTCCCTGAGTATTCAGTGAGCCAGGGTGATCACACATTTCCATACCCTGCTCACTTTTGGGCCTTGCCTGCTGTCCTGAAGGACAGATGACCCTTGAACAACACAGGTTTGAACTACGCGGGTCCACTTATGCAAGGACTTTGTTACAGTACTCTAAATGTATTTCCTTTTCCTTATTATTTTCTTAATAACAGTTTCTTTCCTTTAGCTTACTTAATTGTAAGAATATAGTATATAATATGTATAGCATGCAAAATATGCGTTAATAGACTATTTATTGGTAAGGCTCCCGGTCAACAGTAGGCGATTAGTAGTTAAGTTTTTGGGAAGTCAGAAGTTATTCATGGATTCTCAGCTGTGTGGGGAGTTGATGCCCCACCCCCTTATTGTTCAAGGGTCAACTGTAATTATTAAGGGAGTCTCTTTTCCTTCTCACAAGTGTCCCCGTTTGGTCTCTATGTTCTGTTGTCCCTCAGCTTGGCAACCTCCCCACCCCAGCACAGAAGCTAGCCCTAGACCTAGTATTACTGAGCTCCAGCAGACTGCCTTCACAGTGCCACAGCGCATTCCCCCTGCAGTGACTTGAACAGATGCCATCAATTTTTAGCAAGGCAGCTGGTTGTCAGGAAGATGCTCAAAGGAATCTGCACACATGAAGAATGTTACTACATGCCACTTTCAGCTTTCTTGGTGGGAATGGATAAAAAATAGGGAGTGTGAAGCAGATGAAGCTGAGTGGGATGTGAGATGGTAGTACTGACAGGAGGGTGTCGCCAGGGCACCAGGGGTCTGCAGTGGCCAGTATGCTCTATGCATTTGGAAATCATGTCAGGTGATGTAACTCCCAAAGCAAAGATTTAAGACTCTTCATACAAAGTAGTGGCAGGACAAGAATTAGCTTTGTATTTTGCAAAGTGGGGGGTTGCTTGTGAAAAACCCAGTCCCTGGTTCTTATCTCAGATCTTTCTACTGAATCATTCTATATAGGGGCTGGGGCTGGGGCTTGTTCAGAAATCTGAATTTTTAACAGCTTCTGGTGATTCTGATGGATTGTCTTGTTTGAGAATCACTGCCTTAGTAAAGTAGACATTTTGGAGCAACTATATGTTCTTACTAACTTGCACGTTTGGACAGTTCATTCATTCATTTAGTAACTCTTTATTGAATAGTAATCATGAGTGAAGCCCTGGGCCAGGAGCTGGGTATGCAGCAGTGAGTGATAGGATGTGTTTGCTGTCCAAAGAGCTTTCCATTCTGGCAGAGGAGACAGACCTTCACCTAGCAATACCCCTGTGATATATCACTACACGGGGAGTACTGAGGACTGTGGATGCTGAAGCTAGCATCTACCCCAGATTCTGGGCTCAGGACAGGCCCCTCCAGGGTGTGAGTCAGAGCTAGAATCTGAAGGATGAGGAGAGTAGGAAAATAGCTGCTGGACATGGGAACAGTATGCACAAAGGCCTCAGCAAAGGGAGGTTTACTGGAGTTCTGAGATAAGTGGGGGATGTTCACATTGTTGTGAGAAAAGGAGGAGTCAAGGGGGAAGGGTAGGCAGGAGATGTGGAAGGCTGGAGGCCCTTGGGTTTGGGACTAGACTCTCAGAATGCCAAGGACCACCGAAGGGCTTGCATGTAGATCTGTTGGGGGAATTCTGGTCTTTAAAGGCCCATGAGCTGATGGGGACACCAACGTGCGGCCATTCACAGGCTATTTGATCAGGCTTTCTAGTGGCCATAGGCAGGCCAGAGCCCTGGAGACAAGGATGCCGGGTCATCTGTGCTAGCTATCTGGGAAGGTGCTGGGAAGTGGGTGTGGCAGGCAACAGGCCTGGGATGTGCTCCCAGTGCTCTGGTGAGGGCCCAGCCTTTGTGTGCAAAACACTGTCAGCGTCAGGTCTGTAACACTGACATCTGATCTGTGTCTCTCCTCTAGATCCTGCCTGGCCTATACATCGGCAACTTCAAAGGTGAGTTACCTTTTCTTATTAAATGTGGTAAAATATGCATAATATAAAATGTGCCACTTATGCCATTTTTAAGCGAACACTTGAGGTCGCATTAAGTACATTGCTGTGCAAATCCATCTCTGGAACTCTTTCGTCATCCAAACTGAAACTCTGTGCCCATTAAACACTAACTAGTCCCTCTCCCCCAGTGCCTAGAAAACACCATTCCACTTTCTGTTTCTGTGGATTTGACTGCTTTAGGTACTTCACATGAGTGGAGTCTTTCATGCAGTGTTTGTCCTTTGGTGTCTGGCTTATTTGACTGATCATAATATGGATTCATGTGGTAGTATGTGTCAGAATTTATTTCCTCTTTAAGGCTATATGTATACATATTATTTTTATTTTTATTTTTCCTTTCATCTGCTGATGGACATTTTGGGCTGCTTCCACCAAAGGTGGAATCAAGCATGATTGAGTCAAGGTATCGACTCAGTTTACACCCAGTCTGATCTGGACATGGCCACCACTTTTGTCCAGGCCCCTTGCTGGGCCCTCATACTTGTGCCCAACCGCTCAACCAGTGGATATGTGCATACTTAATAGGATGCAGTAGACTTAGGAAACTTGCAAGACTGGAGAGAGCCAACCATCCTCATAGGCATCTGAAGTTCCTCCCTCCTAGACTCATAGGCATCTGAACTTCCTCCCTCCTAGAAAAGCAAGAACACATTTCTATCTGTTTGTCGGTTGCTCCTTAAATTTGAGTTCAGGTTCAAATTGACTGTAAAAAAAATCTCTTTTTTTTCCCCAATATATTTTACTTTATTTTTTTTGTTATTTTATTTTTTTTATTATGTTATGTTAATCACCATACATTACATCATTAGTTTTTGATGTAGTGTTCCATGATTCATTTTTAATACCCATCACCAGGCTAACCCATCCCCCCACCCTCCTCTCCTCTAGAACCCTCAGTTTGTTTCTCAGAGTCCATAGTCTCTCATGGTTTGTCTCCCCGTCCAATTTCCCCCCCCTTCATGCTTCCCTTGCTACTATCTTCTTCTTTTTTTAACATATAATGTATTATTTGTTTCAGAGGTACAGGTCTGTGATTCAACAGTCTTACACAATTCACAGCACTCACCATAGCACATACCCTCCCCAATGTCCATCACCCAGCCACCCCATCCCTACCACCCCCCTCCACTCCAGCAACCCTCAGTTTGTTTCCTGAGATTAAGAATTCCTCATATCAGTAAGATCATATGACACACGTCTTTCTCTGATTGACTTATTTCGCTCAGCATAATACCCTTCAGTTCCATCCACATCATTGCAAATGGCAAGAGTTCATTCCTTTTGATGGCTGCATAATAGTCCATTGTATATATATACACCACATCTTCTTTTCCATTCATCTGTCGATGGACGTCGTGGCTCCTTCCATAGTTTGGCTACTGTGGACATTGCTGCTATAAACATCGGGGTACACGTACCCCTTCGGATCACTACATTTGTATCTATGGGGTAAATACCTAGTACTGCAATTGCTGGGTCATAGGAGAGCTCTATTTTCAACTTTTTGAGGAACCTCCATATTGTTTTTCAGAGTGGTTGCACCAGCTTGCATTCCCACCAACAGTGTAGGATGGTTCCCCTTTCTCTGCATCCCTGCCAACATCTGTTGTTTCCTGACTTGTTAATTTTACCCATTCTGACTGGTATGAGGTGGTATCTCATTGAGGTTGATTTGGATTTCCCTGATGCCGAGCGATGTTGAGTGCTTTTTCATGTGTCTGTTGGCCATTTGGATGTCTTCTTTGGGAAATGTCTGTTTATGTCTTCTGCCCATTTCTTGATTGGATCATTTGTTCTTTGGGTGTTGAGTTTGATAAGTTCTTTATAGATTTTGGATACTAGCCCTTTATCTGATATGTCGTTTGCAAATATCTTCTCCCATTCTGTCGGTTGTCTTTTGGTTTTGTAGACTGTTTCTTTTGCTGTGCAAAAGCTTTTTATCTTGATGAAATCCCAGTAGTTCATTTTTGCCCTTGCTTGCAAGGGCCTTTGGCGACGTTTCTAGGAATAAGTTGCTGCGCCTGAGGTCGAAGACGTTGCTGCCTGTGTTCTCCTCTAGGATTTTGATGGACTCCTATCTCACATTTAGGTCTTTCAACCATTTTGAATCTATTTTTGCATGTGGTGTAAGGAAATGGTCCAGTTTCATTCTTCTGCCTGTGGCTGTCCAATTTTCCCAACACCATTTGTTGAAGAGATTGTCTTTTTTCCATTGGACATTCGTTCCTGCTTTGTCAAAGATTAGTTGACCATAGAGTTGAGGGTCCATTTCTGGGCTCTCTATTCTGTTCCATTGATCTATGTATCTGTTTTTGTGCCAGTACCATACTGTCTTGATGATGACAGCTTTGTAATAGAGCTTGAAGTCCGGAATTGTGATGCCGCCAGCTTTGCTTTTCTTTTTCAACATTCCTCTGGCTATTCGGGGTCTTGTCTGGTTCCATACAAATTTTAGGATTATTTGGTCCATTTCTTTGAAAAAAGTGGATGGTATTTTGATAGGGATTGCATTAAATGCGTAGATTGCTCTAGGTAGCAGTGACATCTTCACAATATTTGTTCTTCCAGTCCATGAGCGCGGAACGTTTTTCCATTTCTTTGTGTCTTCCTCAATTTCTTTCATGAGTATTTTATAGTTTTCCGAGTACAGATTCTTTGCCTCTTTGGTTAGATTTATTCCTAGGAATCTTATGGTTTTGGATGCAATTGTAAATGGGATCAACTCTTTAATTTCTCTTTCTTCGGTCTTGGTGTTGGTGTATAGGAATGCCACTGATTTCTGTGCGTTGATTTTATATCCTGCCACATTATTGAATTCCTATATGAGTTCTAGCAGTTTTGGGGTGGAGTCTCTTGGGTTTTCCACATAAAGTATTGGGTTTTCCACATAAAGTATCATATTATCTGCAAGGAGTGAGAGTTTGACTTTGCCTTTGCCGATTCGGATGCCTTTTATTTCTTTTTGTTGTCTGATTGCTGTGGCTAGGACTTCTAATACTATGTTGAATAGCTGTGGTGATAGTGGACATCCCTGCCGCGTTCCCGACCTTAGGGGGAAAGCTCTCAGTTTTTCCCCATTGAGAATGATATTCACTGTGGGTTTTTCATAGATGGCTTTTATGATATTGAGGTATGTACCCTCTATCCCTGTAATCTGAAGAGTTTTGCTCAAGAAAGGATGCTGTACTTTGTCAAATTCTTTTTCTGCATCTATTGAGAGGATCCTGTGGTTCTTGGTCTTTCTTTTATTAATGTATTGTATCACATTGATTGATTTGCAGATGTTGAATCAGTCTTGCAGCCCAGGGATCAATCCTACTTGGTCATGGTGAATAATCCTTTTAATGTTGTTGGATCCTATTGGCTAGTATTTTGGTGAGAATTTTTGCATCCATGTTCATCAATGATATTGGTCTGTAATTCTCCTTTTGATGGGGTCTTTGTCTGGTTTTGGGATCAAGGTAATGGTGACCTCATAAAACGAGTTTGGAAGTTTTCCTTCCATTTCTATTTTTTGGAACAGTTTCAGAAGGGTAGGTATTAATTCTTCTTTAAATGTTTGGTAGAATTCCCCTGGGAAGCCATCTGGCCCTGGGCTTTTGTTTGTTGGGAGATTTTTGATGACTGCTTCAATTTCCTTAGTGGTTATAGGTCTGTTCAGGTTTTCTCTTTCTTCCTGGTTCAATTTTGGTAGTTGATACATCTCTAGGAATGCATCCGTTTCTTCCAGATAATCTAATTTGCTGGCATATAGTTGCTCATAATATGTTCTTAGAATTGTTTGTATTTCTTTGGCATTGGTTGTGATCTCTCCTCTTTCATTCATGATTTTGTTGATTTGGGTCATTTCTCTTTTCTTTTGATAAGTCTGGCCAGGGATTTATCAATCTCGTTAATTCTTTCAAAGAACCAGCTCCTAGTTTCGTTGATCTGTTCTACTGTTCTTTTGGTTTCTATTTCATTGATTTCTACTCTGATCTTTATTATTTCTCTTCTCCTGCTGGGTTTAGGCTTCATTTGCTGTTCTTTCTCCAGCTCCTTTAGTTGTAGGGTTAGGTTGTGTATTTGAGCCCTCTCTTGTTTCTTGAGAAAGGCTTGTATTGCTATATACTTTCCTCTCCGGACTACCTTTGCTGCATCCCAAAGATTTTGAACAGTTGTGTTTTCATTTTCATTGATTTCCATGAATTTTTTAAATTCTTCTCTAATTTCCTGGTTGACCCATTCATTCTTTGGTAGGATACTCTTTAGCCTCCATGCATTTGAGTTCTTTCCGACTTTCCTCTTGTGATTGAGTTCTAGTTTCAAAGCATTGTGGTCCGAAAATACACAGGGAATGATCCCAGTCTTTTGGTACTAGCTGAGACCTGACGTGTGACGTAGGATGTGATAAATTCTGGAGAATGTTCCATGGGCACTAGAGAAGAATGTGTATTCCGTTGCTTTGGGATGGAATGTTCTGAATATATCCGTGAAGTCCATTTGGTCCAGTGTGTCATTTAAAGTCTTTATTTCCTTGTTGATCTTTTGCTTAGATGATCTGTCCATTTCAGTCAGGGGGGTGTTAAAGTCCCCTACTATTATTGTATTGTTGTTGATGTGTTTCTTTGCTTTTATTATTAATTGCCTTATATAATTGGCTGCTGCCATGTTAGGGGCATAGATATTTACAATTCTTAGATCTTGTTGGGTATACCCTTTAAGTAGGATATAGTGTCCCTCCTCATCTCTTATTACAGTCTTTGTTTTAAAATCTAATTTGTCTCATATAAGGATTGCCACCCAACTTTCTTTTGGTATCCATTAGCATGGTAAATGGTTTTCCACCCCCTCACTTTCAATGTGGAGGTGTCTTTGGGTCTAAAATGAGTCTCTTGCAGACAGCATATTGATGGGTCTTGTTTTTTTATCCAATATGATACTCCGTGTCTTTTGATTGG